ATATATATAACCTAATATGTATATTAGATAACTCTGGGAAAAACTGATAACAGAGCAAGAGAACTGCACTAGGAAACAAAATTATTTTTCACTGTAATTCATTCTGTTCTGATTTAAAAAAAAAACAACCAAACAAACCATGAACATGTATGCCATCTGATATTAAGAAGTACATATACAATCTGATCTCCAACGGTCCACATCCATACCCTTAATTACAGAATGGTGATACAATGGACAATAAGATCCATCAGTCACTCACTGTGTGATCTTAGGCAAGAAACTTCACCCCTCTATCAGTTCCTTAATAAAAATGCAGATTACAATACCTGCCTCGATGACTGTAAAATGTCCCAGTATACAGCAGGAACTCAATAAATGTTCACTCATCCCTACCATTCCTAGATTCTTAGGAAGACCACAAACTACAAGGAAATAAATGCCAATTCCTTTACAAAATTACAATTTCAATTTGAGAATCTCTGGGTATAATGTAATCTGATTTTTATTTGTAAATTGTGTTTATATACAAATGCAAATACACACACAAACATACACATATGACTTTATTCACAGAAAGACGATCATACACCAGACTTACTGTGTGGAAGAGCTTTAAAAATATCTATTTACTGTATGAATTTTTCTTGAGGATAAATTACTATCATAATGTTGTTGAGTGCCATCAAGTTGGTGCTGTTTCATAGTGACCCTGTAATAAGGTTTCCAAGGAATCACTGGTGTGTCTGAATCATCAACCTTACAGATAGCAGTCCAGTGTTTATTTGCTTAAAACAAAAGAATCTTAATGCAAAAAGTATATCCAAAACCCAACAAATATTCCACCTACTTTAAGAAACTGCCAACCATGAAACTCCAGCAAGACAACAAAAGAATCATATCAGGCCCCTGGACTTGTAATACTCACATGTATGGTACTTAATAAAGGGTTTTCCCAATAGAATGATTCTTAATGTTTACTTGAAAGATTCCTCAATCACTTTGGTTGTGTTGCAGCAATGTATCAACCTGGCAGTAGGCCCTCTGGGTTCTCCTGGCTAAAAGCTAACTTTACCTCAACAACTCCACCATACTCTTTTTCTGAGATTGCCTACCTTGCCATCAGATGCAGTATTGATCCTGTAGTGGTACACCCTTCCTTCGTATCTCAGCGAAATGGACCGCTGGCCTGGGCTGCTCTCACTCTCCCGTACCAAAAAGCTACCATTGATTCCACTGCTCAGCAGGTATTCAGCAGCATTACGTGACACAGGCCCATGGTACCAGGAATGTTTCTCCAGACTGTTGACTGGCGTGATGTAGTTGCTTGGAACCCACCCTTGGCCATTTTTTGTTTGGGCTTCACACCATTCGCCATTGTGATTGTAGCCTAAGACCCGGAGCTTTTCACCTTAGAAGAAAGAACCAAAATCAGACATACTGGCTTTTTAAAGGCTTACTTCACTCTCATTTATCCTTTAATGACCAAAAGACTTCAAATTCCTAATTGCCTATGCCATATGAACAAATATAAATATATGCACTTATAAGTACATAAAAGCAAATGTTTATATGCATGAAGTCTTCCTGTTTGTACTAATAAACAGATAAATGTCTTTTCCATTGTAAAAACTTAGGGAAACCTGTGCTAACAACTACACACAGAAACTCTTCTTAAAGAGAAGTGACTTTCTTCTAAAGATTCCTTTTTTGTTGTTGTTTTTTTTGGATGTTTCTGCCATTCCAAACATGGAGAGCTTGCTCTTTCAGTTAGCCAAGGGGGTGGCCAGCTAACCCACAATCCACCCTGATTTCTGTCTCTTGCAACCACTACCAACTGCCCATAGCCCTTTTACCTTTAGTTATGCTTAGAGTATTATCCCCACTGGCCACAAAATCATACAGTGCAACGAAAAGGTTGGGGTCATTTTCACTTGGACCAGAAAGAAGATTTTCCTTGGAGTTCCAACGAGCTGCTTCACTCAGACCTTGGGGCTCAAAGTCAGATGCTACTGGCCTCTGAAGGGCTTCTAAAAGAGAAAGAAGGGGGGAAAATGAGAGAGAGAATAATTTGAGAACAAAAACAACATTAGTTTTACACTTAGGAGCAAAAGTATCTGTGCTTCCAGCATTGTATATTCCCGATTTCTCATTTTTTAACCATCTGTGCACACTCAAATATCAAGAAAAGCAGTTTTTTTAAAAAAGAACTCTTCCTTTACCAAATCTTGTGGAAATTAATAAATATTTTCATTCCAAGGTGCTAAACAACCATTCCTAAATAGTTTAAGCTTTTTAAAGTCAGTATTCAAAATTAATTTTGACAAGATGTGAAATACACTCATATTATCGCTTAATGTCCATAATATGGTCTGTGAAATAGGATGTCAAGTGATTTGGACATAGTGTATGGCACTGTTTTCTTGTTAATCATCTTGAACAAACTTTGTACCTTAGCAGGGATCATCGATGTGATGAGAGAGATTCACTTTGTGTTTGGTCCTCAATACACAAGATTAACAGTTTCTCTATCTGACATAGGTCCCTCTTGCATTTGTATTGTATTTGTATTGCCTTGTATCTTTCAGTGATGCCAATAACACTTAAAATTGTTTTCTTTTTGAGGATTGTCATGATTGCCCAGTTTGACATGCCTAAATTGTCAGCAACAGCATTAACTGATTTTCTATCTTTGCGTTGTTTAATTATAAACTTGGTTATTAAAAGCACTTCCTTTTTGTTACCTGCTGCTGCTATCACTAGCATTGGTTTTGTTGCATTTGGGAACCATGATGGCACTTCACAGATGTATTTTCGAAAGAAACAGTTCCACAATACTCAAGAGACATTCAATACACAGATTAGATGTTGCTGCTTACAAACTGAAGAATACAATTAAACGCTTCTCAGACAGGAAGTACAGTATAGTACATACATAGGCATTTATTATGATGATCAAGATACATATATTACAAGTTATATATCTACTATAATTATGCCTGGCAGCACAATAGTGTTGTATACAAGGTGTTGTGTTTGCTATGTCCTGTCCGCCATTGATTTCTGAACTCTAAGCCTTATGGGATCATGTATACAAGGTCAGAAGTTGCCCAAGCAGATGTTATATGTGTAGGTCATCTTCCTATTCCTTTGTTATTGTTTCTGTTACAATATGCAATAGAAATTTCTACTTTAAACATTTTTACATGTATCAAAGTTAATATATTTACAAAATTCAAAAACCCAAATAGTAGAGAAAGAGTTATAATAAAAAACTTTCTATTCCCAGAGGCAACTTCTATTTGTTGATAAACGCTTCCATCACTCCAGATATAAGCTGTATCACAATAACTCTTATACAAACACACACATACACACACTCTCGTTATCTTTGTAATTTTAAATATAGGCATGACTTGGAGATAATTGTAGGTTCGGTTCCATACCACCACAATAAAGCAAATATTGCAATAAAAAAACAAAGCACACACACAATTTTTTACTAATGTATATAAGTGTTTCATAATGCATTCATTAGATTTGCTTGATGCAGGAATGTCACTTAACTTCAGTTTTAAAAAATCCAACATCTGTGAAGTGCAATAAAACAAAGTATGCCTATAATAGATTTATACCTTTACTTCCTGTTCTACCAACTAAAGATGTCTCTCTTAACAATCTACTCACAAGATAAGGATATTTACATCCCATGCTTCCTTCCAGTTGGAATGGCGCTGTAGTACAAGCACTGGACTAACTGCAAGGCTGGTGGTTCAAACTCACGCGCCACTCCTCAGAAACCCTATATAGGGGTCTCTATCATTCAGAACAATTTGAAGCCAGTTAACACCTAGTGTGGCTCTGGCTTTGTGGGTTAATGTGCCAGACTGCAAAGCCTTTTGAACTGCAAGGTTGGTGGTTCAAGCTCACTAGCCACTCCTCAAAACACTATACAGGGTCGTTATGGGTTGGAACCAACCTGACAGCACAAACAACAACAACAAAATACCCAACTCTCAAATATGGTCTTTTCTTCGTGTGTTTTTTTCTTAACCTTGTGAAAATTAGTAATGTTGTCGTTGTTAGGTGCCATCGATTCGGTACTGACCCATAACAACCTTATGCACAGCAGAATAAAACACTGCCTGATCCTGGGCCAACCTCACTGTTGCCACACTTGAGTCCATTGATGCTGCCACTTGGCCAATCCATTTTGTTGGGGTCTTCCTCTTTTTCTCTGACACTACACCTTACCAAACATGATATTCTTCTCAGATGACTGGTCCCTCCTGACAATATGTCCAAAGTATGAGAGACGAAGTTTGGCCATTTTGGCCTCCAAAGAGCACGCTGGCTGCACTTCTTCCAAAACGGATCTATTGGTTCTTTTGGCAGCCCATGGCACTTTCAATATTCTCCTCTAACACCATAACTCAAAGGCATCAACTCTTTTATGGTCTTACTTATTCACTGTCCAGCTTTCACATGCATATGAGGTTATTGAAAATACCAAGGCTTGGTCAGGCACACCTTAGTCCTCAAGCTGACATCTTTGCTCTTCAACACTTTAAAAAGGTCTTGTGCAGCAGATTTGCCTAATGCAATATGTCTTTGATCTCTTGAATGCTGCTTCCATGAGTGTTGATAGTTGATCCAAAAAGAATGAAGTCCTTGACAACTTCAATCTTTTCTCCATTGATTAGAATGTTGTTTATTGGTCCAGTGGTGAGGATTTTTGTTTTCTTTACATTGAGATGTAATCCATTCCGAAGGCTGTGCTCTT